GGAGGAAAAAGGACTTTGAAACTTGAAAGGAAAGAGCTTGCTTTCAACCTCAAAAGCTAAGAGGAAAGGGCTCTGAAATTTGCTCAGTATTCCCAATTCACCATTAGCCTGTTTCTTCCTTTAGCCTCAAGGCATTCTCCGCTTTTTGAAAAGATGTTAAGAAATTCAGTCACAATAGAGAGCCTAGTTTTGAACATGTTTCACTCGGTCCATTGAGGTCTGGTCTTCAGCCTTTGTGTGGGGTGAATTGAGCTGAGCAGCAAGCTGGTTGGGGAGAGGTGAATGAGCAGTCTCTGTGCAGTCACAAATTCTGGCAAAGAAAAGATTACCCTTTCCTTTATTTTACAATATGCATTCCTGTACAATCCTGCTAGTGGCAATATGCGGAGCCGAGCTTGTGCTTGGGTCAATATGGAGCACTTGGTTTATAGCAACTCTTGTTAAGTTTGTCTTGTAATTGAAGCTGCTGTTGACCTTGCTTGGAGACCATTTGTAAAACCGTTTATTTAGCATAAACTGAAATAATAAACCCTCCTTCTCTTAGGCCGATTGTGATAGGGTGACATTAGTTTGATTTAATGATTAGCCGCCTGACCCCTCAGCTAGAGAGAGCCGCTTGAATAGGGAGAGTTCACTAGGAAGCACACAGGAAGAATACTAATGAGCTTGTTAAATTTAGCATGGCACCAACCACTTTTAATTCCTCTAATGGGAGAAGCACTGCCTCTGAGAGAGAGGGAGGGAGATGTGGAGAAGGGGGGAAAAGGGAGAGAGAGGAAAAGAGAGGGAGGAATGCCCACGTCCCGGTAGCCAGAGAATTTTGGTCAAGAGAAGAGCTTGGAGGGAGCGTCAGCCAGGGTCTCTTGGACTGAGTTGTAAGTACCTTGTCTCTTCTCCTACCCAGCTGAAGCGCATCGGCAGGTCGCTCATGAGACAGCAATGCTCTCTGCAAGTTGCATGCAGAAATGCAGTGATGAAACTTAACACGTAAACAGATTTAACTGGGCTGGTGTTGTCTCATTTCAGTGGGGGTCTCTGAAGTGTGTTGAGACTGATTTTTAGTGTGGTGTATCAATAGATTTCAACTTTTTTTTTAGTTGCTGACTTTAAGAGGTTTGAAGCAAAAAAGCTTCTACTTCGTTTTGGTCTACAATTAAAAAAAAAGTTAAACAGGGAAAGAAAACTTAATGGATTTTTGCATTAGGTTTTGGGTTGTCCTGATTTTTAATTTTTTGGGTAAATTAGCTGAGCAATTAAAAGTGCATTTATTCAGGCATGCTGTCCAGTGTGAGTTTTTTGAAAAAGCTCATTGATTAAATGAAGTGTTCCTTGGTGCTCAGCACTTCTAATAAAAACTGCTTCTAATAAAAACTGATCAGAATAACAGGACTAAATTGGGTGTTTCTCAGTGGATGGGAGAACCTTGGATTAATGTGATCGTTCCAGGCTGGGCACTTGTAACACGTGGCTCTGGCTACTGGCTTGTTAAGACAGAGTAGGGTATACATGAAGAAAGAGAAGCTTATGCAGATTGCTCTTGGGGCCCGATTACGTGTGTGTTCCCCCCCCCCCTTTTCTTATTTAACCCCTCTCTCTTACACCCGCAAAAGGTGGGATGAACTATGCTGGAGTCAGTGGGGTCCCACCAGCAGGAAGCAGGTGGAGATGAGGGAGGATCAATCCCTTTAACTTTGGCATTCATCTCTCTGCAAGATTTTAGTAAATCGGATGTTTCTTTTGACCCTAAAGCCAGCCACTTCTAAAACGTGAGCAGAGCAGTAATAGTTGTCGCGTATTTGACTGTAAACCCCTTTGGCAGATGCTGCCGGAGAAGTGGGCTGTTTGCTTACATTTTTGCTATAGAGTCCCACTTGTTGCCATGGTGGACAGTGTGTTTCTGTCAATAATTTGGCCTGGCGCAGCTTGCCTGCACTTACTCTTAAAACTTTATTGAACGATTCAGCTGAAACAGAACAAGATTAGACAGCTTTTGCCTTTTGGCGCACTGGAGTGGCTCCCCCGCCG